AGCTCTGTTGTATTGCCCCCCCACCCCCCTTCACTTTATCTTCTCTGAATTTTTCATGCTGTTGATCTGTGCAATTTTTGTGGTGATTCTGTTACATTTATTTTGAATTCAGATTTATCTGTCCATGATTTTCATGCTTCTTAATATCTCTTTTTTTTGACTGGCTGGTTTTGTTTAGTTTTGTTTCTAATACATTTCTCTTCAATTTGAGCCATGTTTTTGTTCATTTGAGCTCTGGTTTGGTTGAATTTTTATATACGTTAGAATGTTCACTGCTCAAGTACTTTAATATTATGCTTTTGTGTTGTTAGGCTTAGAGGAAATATGAGTGATTTTGTATTCTGGACTTTTCATTTAGTGACCTTATTCTCTAGGTAATTTAATACCTTCTGAAAGCATGGAAGTTAAAGGTAGAAAAAAAAATCATGGAAAAAAAAGGTTGGTTCTTATCTTTCTCAAACACACATCACTTTAAATTTATTAACCTAAAATTTTAAACTTATGTTTCTTGTGTTCTTGTATTTTTAAGGAAACAAGCTGAGTTTGCTGTGGAAGAGCACAGTGCTGAACTTTGCACACCTGTAGCTCCATCGACTTCCATAGTTCTTAGGAAAAGTCCACGTCTTTTATGTTTAGAACAGTCACCCACTGCCCTTGTTCCCGATGCAATCATTAATAGGCCAAAACGAGATGTTGCGACTATTTTAGAAAGTATAGTTGATGACAAAGATTATAAGACTCGTATGTCTCCGAACGGCCTTTTTAACCTTTTGCAGAGGTTAAATAGTGAACAAAAAAAGCTGTTGAAGTGTTGGGTTTTCATTCCCTTTTTAGTCTTGAAGCGTCAGTTCTACCGGTAAAGCTTTCAAAATGGCTTGTTCAAAACTTTGACCCAGATAGCTGTTCACTTAATCTTTTAAATGAGCGGGTTAGAATCACAGAAAAGGATGTCCATCCAACCCTTGGCCTCCCGACTGGACCATTTGATGTGCTAGAAGCACAAAACAGGCCAACAGACCCCGAGGATTATAAGACTTTGGTCCTTAAGTGGAGAGATGAGTGGGGTTTACATAGGGATTTTCCACGTACCAATGCTATGCCCGATAGAATTTTAGGAATGGCGTGGTCAAGTGAAGGCTTTAAGCTCAATTTTATGGTGTTCTTCATCTCTACCTGCATATCTGGAAACACAAATACATTTGCAAATTCAAGAGTGTTGCGCTCCTTAGTCGATTTGAGTAACGTGAATAAATTAAACTGGTGCAAGTATACCTTGACCAGTTTAATTAATTCTACCATTTAATGGAAGCAAAAGTCGAATCCTTATTTTACTGGGCCTATTTTGTTCTTAATGGTATGTATTCATTTTCCTTAACATAAAACTTTATAAGTTCCAACACACTAGTTTGCATTTTATATTTTACAGTCGTTGGTGTTATACTGATTTTTCTCTTTTTAGATGTTTTATGTTTATAGGGTTGTCTTTCGAATGAGAGTAGTGCCTAGAACTTTTCCAACTATGCTAGGTTGGACTTCCCAGAAGCTTAAGGAAAGAGAAGGATTGGAGCGGGAATCAGGTTAGTGCAACTTATTTTTAGGAGGTTTATGCTTTTTTAAGTTACACGTGACAGAATAATACTGTAAATAGGTTGTTTTGGCCGTGGTAGCGTGGACCCACAAATCAATAAAGAGTTGTTTTCAAATGATATCATGTCTCTTGAAGATCCTTTTGGGAAAACATCACCATCACAGGTAATTGTACGACACACACACATCAGTTTTCTTTATGTTCAATTAAGGACACATTTTATTTTTGAATGTAAATCGATTGAAAAATACCACAACTCCACCGTTCCTTCATCATATAGTGTCATAGATTTCACACCAGCAAGGACAAAAATCCCTGCATACACTAGTGCTTTGCTTTTTTATTCTATTATTTCATTTCACATTTCAGTTCACTACCTGCCATCCAATCCATTTTTACACAAACACACTCTATGATTATTCAATCGACCTCTTAGTCTCCTAAATTAACTCCTTGCTTGGATGAATGAAGTGATCATGCTCTTGTTTCTTTTTCATATTTATTTGGTTTGACTTTGAGTGGATAATTTGAAGTTGAAGCATTGAATATCAAAGTAACTTGACACACTTTTTTCTTTTTTAAAAACTTGTTTTAGAACGACGTTTTAGAGGAGGCACGGACTGCTGCAAAAGAGTTGGTGCAAAAAATATCAAAGTGGGACACCGTCTGTAGAGGCTTGAATAGTGAGTTCCCAAATTCAAATGCCGTCAAGAGAATGCAACAAACAGCTGCAGAAGTGACTGTTGTTGTTGGTAAAAGTCCAAGAATAACAGGTACTCCGATTTTGGAAACAAATGCGAAAATGCAATTCGAAGTAGTCCACGAGAGCCCATCTTTCTTGGCTGAAATATCTCAACTTGAAATGGAATTTTTCTCGGTGAAGCACAACCTTGAGAGCAACAGCAAAGACTTGTCTCTGCCATCATTTAGATTAGGGCTTACACCAGAGGAAAAAGAAATTCAAAATGAGCAGATTCAACATGAAGAGATTCAGCATGAGGAGATTCAAACAAAGAATGGAGATGGCGCAACCCAAACATGCAATCTCACTGCATTGGCAGATGATGTACAGAGTCATCCCCAAATTGAACCTTTCCGAGAGAGTGTAGTTCAAGGGAAACAAGAAGAAACTTATCTTTTTCAGCCAACCCCACCATTTACTCACTTTACTAGTCAAGAAATTGCATCCGGTCCTAGCCCTGTTCAAAGTCCTGTATTCATTAAAAGACGATTTCAACCCCAAAGGAAGAAAGAATTTCACGCGCCTTATGTTCTCCTTTTTGGATAAGAAACATGCAAGCACTCTCACGGTTGAGCCGTGCCGAGAAGGTTCTCACGGACTACGTATTCAACAAATCTCTTGAACTTTGGTCAGTGTTACCTTTTCACATTTTTTTGTAAAAAAGTTACTTAATTTAATTATTATTATTAAGATTGTTTTGATATGTATTTATCCGATTTTCCATAATTTTAATTGCAGGGAAGTTTTGTACAAATACATGTTTTGTGAAATGAAGCGAAGCGATTTAATATCCTTTTTTGAAGGGTGTGTCTCGCCTCTTATTTTACAGATTTGGTGTCGATTCTTGAATTCCGAGGAAAAGCATCGAAGCAAGTCAGATGTCTATCGAATTTTCCTTAGCGTGAATCCTTTTATATGTAACCTCTTTACATTATTCATGTACTTTTGTGTATAAAAGTAGAGATATTTAGGGTAAATTTCAGTAATGGTACCTGAACTTTCACTAGAATTTCTAAGTGGTACCTCAATTTCAAATCCTTTCACAAAAATTCCTAAACTTACATAATCCTTTCACTAAAAATCCATTTACCCATTTTCAAGTTAACTTCCGGTCATTTGGGCTAAATTAAAATTTATATATTTTAAAATTTTCAATTTGACCCCATTTCTTTTTTTCTTCTTCTTTTCCCTCCCACTCTCTTCCTTTTCTTCTTCTTTCACCCCCTTTCTTCTTCTTCTTCCTCACCCCACCCCATCCGAAAAGTTAATCTTGAAGAGACAATCTTCGAGAATGGGTAGAGGAAGAGGGTAAGCACAAAACAGGGAGATTATGGTTTCTAAATCGAAATGAAGAGTCAAATTTTATTGCAATTTCATTCTTGATCTCCTCGAGGGAGATGGAGTTCTTTTCTCCAACCATATTTGGTTTCTCTCTTCTGCTTTAGTTCTTCAGCAGCAGAGACGAAGACGAAGAAGCTATGGGCCAATAATAAATTTGATCTGGACTCTATTTATTTACAAATATAGAGAGAGAAATGGATTGGGGAGCTACTGATAAATATTGCAATTTGCAAGCTGGGAATATGTGCCGCATTTACGCCTCTCCTTTTATGCACACAGAGTGCATTCCTTTTATTAATAAAAACAAAAATAAAATAAAGCTTTGATGAGTTCCAGACTGGGAGTGGGGTGGGGTAAGGAAGAAGAAGAAAAAGAAAGGGGGTGAAAGAAGAAAGAGAAGGGAGTGGGAGGGGTAAGAAGAAGAAGAAAAAAAGAAATGGGGTCAAATTGAAAATTTTAAAATATATAAAATTCTAATTTAGCCCAAATGACCGGAAGTTAACTTGGAAATGGGTAAATGGACTTTAAGTGAAAGGATTATGTAAGTTCAGGGATTTTTGTGAAAGGATTTGATGTTTAGGTACCACTTCGAAATTTCAGTGAAAGTTCAGGTACCATTACTGAAATTTAACCGAGATATTTAGCATGGAAGTTCAAATGTGACACTGACCTAAAATTTACATTATTCATGTAGGCTGAGTTTGTAAAGATCAGTTTATATGACGATGCTCATGGAAACTTTTGTGAAGTCGCTGACAAAGAATTGGTAGAACAACAGTTTTATAACAGCATTGATATGAGTACTGCAGATTTGGTCAGCTACATGGAATTGTTTGTTTTTAGTGTTTTGTATCTAATGTATTCATTTATTCTGATATCATTTATCTGTTCTTATTTTACTGTAGGTATTCTTCTTGGTTGCTGATGAAAAAGACAAGGATGATGTTTATATAGTGTGTTTTAACATGAAAAAGGAGAAGATAACCATCCTTGATTCGATTGAAGATAAAACTAAGGTGTATGATACATGTGTTGAATGTTTGGTAAGATCCTTTTTAAAGCGTGGTAATACAAACTTAAGCTTGAACTTCATTGTTTATTCTTTAACTTAATCTAATATAGTCTCACTGACTTGCAAAAAAAGGGAATGTGCCAGTATTTCAATGAAAAAAATCTTGAGCAAAAAGCAAGTATAATTTCCAAATTTCCTTTTGAAATAACAAAGAAGGCATGTTATGGGAACATGGAAGGTATGGGTGTTGGTGTCATAGCCATGAGGCAATTGGAAACTTTCAAGGGGAATTTGAATACGTGGAAGATGGATTTGAACAAAAATGATGTAAGTCTTATGTCTTTTTTGTTTATAAAGTGAAATAAGATAACATTAGCACATATTTTATCTTATTTTAATTGAAATTTAAATTTCTTGGTAGGTAAATGGATTAAGAATGCTCTGTGTCCGATATTGCTATGAAATGCTCACCTCTGATCATAATCAAGTTGTAGTAGAAGTGAAACGGAAAGTGGCAGAATATGGAAAGTTTATCAGTGACACACTTGGACACATACAGTGACAATTTGATTTTTGGGCTAATGTCTAATTTGTTTAAGTTTTAGCAATCTGATTTTGGGTTATTATGGTGTTGAGAAAACAAGATATGATTTGTGTGGATATAGGACCAGGTTAACATTTGTAATATCCTCATTTTGCTTCTATAGGTGTCAAGCATGGAACATTTTTCATTTCAGTCCAATCATTAGCTTGTAACAACTGGATAGCTTTTTGTACCCTGACCTTTCTAATTTTTATCTTCTAATGCAATATTTGTTAAGTGCTTAGTTGTGTTCTGTCATTGTTTTTACAAGTCCAAAAAGTTCCCTCAACTGTGAATCTTTCTTTGTTTCATCTTTTGTGATGTTGTCAAAAAGCAATGACCTGCTGCCCATCATAAAATGTGCAGCAGCTGAGCTAAACCTCGACTTGAACACTCCCTTCCCAATGATACTATAAGCAGTCGCACTTTTCCCGTTCCAACTAAGACTAAAGTTCTATCATCATTGGAGCAAGAAGATGTGAACTCCCATTTGTTGTTGGAAGCTATACTTCCTCTCATTTTCTGAGATGCAAAGACATTGGTCAAATTAGTGGCTTCAAAAACAATAAGAGCACAGTAAGGTCTCACGAGTGGGGGTTTATACCGGAGATCTCATTATTGATCAAAGAGAGCACCACACAATCACTTGGTGTGAAATTGGCCACCGACGCACTGGCGAAAAACCTACTTTTGTGCTTGCTCCTGATCTGTCCTTCATCCAACCTAGTGACAAGTAGAGTTTCTTCCTAAAGGATTTGTCCTTCATCCGTAGTATGGGTTAGTACATTGTGAGAATAAAAGGATGATAACTCATGTCTTAAGTAGGGTAAATATTACTCGATAATGTGGTTGATCAGTGAGGAGGTATAAAATTGGTGTTTCTGAAGGGAGCCAACCCAACATAAACATACATGTCTATTACTTTTTTTATTAAAAGTTTTCCTTAAAAATCATATTTTTTGCCTTTTTTTAAATCACAAACAACACGAGAAACATTGGGTGTTGCAATTTTTTGAAAAAGCTCCCCGAATGAAATTACTAAATTTAACGTATACAATAGAAGATCACCACATATATTGAGAAAAGCTCACTGGACATTACTACAAAGTTCACCAAATATATTGAGAAAAAGGTAACATATGTATCCTTTAAAACTCATCACCTATAACGAGAAAAGCTCACCGGACATAACTACAAAGCTCACCAAACATAACTAGAAAGCTCACCAAATAATTTTAGACTAAGACTTTTTTTTACATGAAAGCTCACCACATATATTGAGAAAGCTCCCCAAACATAACTACAAAGCTCACCAAACATTACTTCAAAGCTCACCAAATAGTTTTAGACTAAGACTTTGTTTTTTACATGAAAGCTCACTACATATATTAAGAAAGATCACCAAACATAACTAGAAAGCTCACCTAACATTACTACAAAGCTCACCAAACTTAACTACAAAGCTCACCACATATATTGAGAAAGCTCACCAAACATAACTACAAAGCTCACCAAATATATTGAGAAAGCTCACCAAACATAACTACAAAGCTCACCACACATAACCAGAAAGCTCACCAAATATATTGAGAAAGCTCACCAAATAATTTTAGACTAAAAGTGTGGTTTTTTTACATGAAAGCTCACCAGATATATTGAGAAAGCTCACCAAACATAACTACAAAGCTCACCGGACATAACTAGAAAGCTCACCAAATTTAACTACAAAGCTCACCAAACATAACTACTAAGCTCACCGAACTTAACTACTAAGCTCACCACATATATTGAGAAAGCTCACCAAACATAACTACAAATCTCACCAAACTTAACTACTAAGCTCACCACATATATTGAGAAAGCTCACCAAACAAAACTACAAAGCTCACCAAACATAACTAGAAAGCTCACCAAATAATTTTAGACTAAGACTTTTTTTTTTACATGAAAGCTCACCACATATATTGAGAAAGCTCCCCAAACATAACTACAAAGCTCACCAAACATTACTACAAAGCTCACCAAATAATTTTAGACTAAGACTTTGTTTCACCTAACATTACTACAAAGCTCACCAAACTTAACTACAAAGCTCACCACATATATTGAGAAAGCTCACCAAACATAACTACAAAGCTCACCAAATATATTTAGAAAGCTCACCAGATAATGTTAGATTAGGACTTTGTTTTTTACATGAAAGATCACCACATATATTGAGAAAGCTCACCAAACATTACATGAAAAGCTTACCATATATATTGATAAAGCTCACCAAACATAACTACAAAGCTCACCAAACATTACTACAAAGCTCACCAAACATTACTATAAAGCTCACCAAACTTAACTATAAAGCTCACCAAACATTACTATAAAGCTCACCAAACTTAACTACAAAGCTCACCACATATATTGAGAAAAGCTCACCAAACATAACTAGAAAGCTCACCAACTAATATTAGACTAAGAGAAGACTTGTTTTTACATGAAAGCTCACTAAACATAACTACAAAGCTCATCATTTTTTATACCCATGTATTTGGTTATTAACAAGAAGGCAATTTCGTGGCGGATTTGCGGAAGGAAAAGGATGAGAAGTGTCTGGTGTCCATTCTTTTTTTACTCGTCATTATGACTTTTGAAATGTTAGAATAAGTGTCCTTCCCTAGTGACCGCATTGTGAAAGGAGTTCTATTATGAATGAGAAGTTAAATATTTAGAATGTTTTTTCATGAGTGGTCTTTGGTTAACAAGGAAAACCAACAACTATTAGTAGAAAACTCAAAAGTGGTCTTTGGTTAACAAGAATGTTTTTTCAAAACTTTACATTACATATGCTATATTTCACAAAATCAGCTCCAACACATAAACAAAGAATACTCCCAAAATATGCCCCAGTATTGTATCACCAACTAATTAAATTGATGCTAACCCATTCTAGGCAAATAATTCTTCCCAAAAGCCAAACATAGCTCAACCAAATTTACTGAAAAGAATATATTGATCACCTTATAGAAGTAATATTTTAACAGCATTGTTACCAACTTTGAAAACAACACTCTCAATTTAAAGAACTAGAACAGAAATCCAAATCAAAAGAAGCAAATTGACACAGAGTTTATAAATATTAGTCATAGAAGATAGAAGAAAGTGCTAATATGATACACATCAAGTATCATTTCCATTTTAACCAAAAAAAACTCTGGCAAAAAAGTCTTAACATTTCTAAATCTCAACCGTCAACCAAAAAATAAAACCTCTCAAAGCATTCAACTCCCCATTTTTTTGCATAGTCCGCAATAAAAAAGACACTAAGGCAGAACAGTAGGCATGTACAGAGCTCAAATTCCAACTTTGGCTTCTGCTACTCTCTAAGAAGTAGCTGCTAGACCTCCCTATTGCTGTTTTGCTTCCAAGTTAACAGGTGATAGTCATTGTAATAAGAAACAAACCTCAAATCAGGTGATAGTCAAGGTGATAGTCAACTTTAAGAAATAAAGACACCAACAAATCTCAAATCAACTAACCTCAAATGAACCTCCCACATGACCAAAGCAACAACATTAATAATCCAAATAATAAGCAACATAATTGTACAAAAACTGTTCAGTCAAGTCAAAATCCATTTGGTCAGCTTATTGCTACACAGACACTTTGATGATGATCATATCGATAAGTGTAACAGATGAGAAGTTTCTTAGAGTAAGAAGACACCCACAACCTTGAGCTTTCGAAATATGACATATCTTTACATGAATACCCTGATTACTTTACTTATATATAAAGATAAATATTTGGAATCAGATTAGATTGCACATGATACCTGTCAAGGTAATCTCTTCCAGGATCCTAAATAACAGCGTATATGCTAAACCACGGGAGCATATTGGTTACTCTTCATCACTGCTACTTTTTCTATAGAAGAAGGATTATTAAAATCTAAATGTAAGTTAAAATGAAACAACTAAAATGAAACATTTAAAAGTAACCTGTTGTTTTTCAATGGACAATTACGGCTGTCATGTGTAGTCATTTTGTTGCATGAACGACAAGGTCGAGTGTGCTTTTGTTTTTCTTGACCCTTCTCCACACCGCTCTTAATCCTCCTTTTCCTTCCCTTCGTGACTCCAATGGTAGGAGGAAGGATTTCAACTCTATCAGGCACTTTGCATCCAAAATAAGTTTCCAAGTCTTTCCTTTTATCATTTCCAACTATTGGCCCCATATCAGTGAGTTCATGCTCAAGGGAAGTTGTACTCTCCAAAATCACTTTCAATTTCTCGTAATCTCGCCCCGCCAGAAGCATGCAGGTGTAAAACTTGCACCAGATATTAGATAAAGTTTGATTCTCTAGCTTCGTTGTGTTAAATGTTTCATCAAAATGCACCGTGCCTTACACAATAGCTCTTTTCTTTGCATATTTTGTCCATTTATCGAAAATATAAATCTTTGGCAGCTTTCTAAGCCCTTGCCCATTCAAAACTGATAAAATATGCCTACAAGGGATTCCTTGTGACACAAAAAAATGGCAGGAGCATGTGGCAGCTTCTTCAGTCAGATCACTATACCGGACATTGTACAGCTTCCCTTTTGCAACACGATTATCTCTTACGACTGTCATTGTTTGACCTTCAACAGATTCCATCCCTTGGATACCACAGTAGCATAAGCCATTCCAAAATTCTTCTTGAAACAAGTAAAAATTGGTGTGTGTGTAAACCTCCCGTGCATGGAGCTCCAAGGGTAATTCTGCTCTTAGAACGGGATTTGAAGTTAATGATGCATTCTGTATTTTGTACTCATTCTCACACTGAGTATCAATAGAATGCTGAAAGTGCACCCAAAATTCTACCAAACTTATTAGTTGGTTTGTCAAACAATTGAACGTTTGATTTTGGCTTTCTGAACCCAACGTTGTTCTTACAATAGCACCTAAATATGTGGTATCAAAAAATACCTGGGCCCCTTGCTCCTTTATTGAAAAGATTTGCGTGAACCAATCATTACGCAACGAATCAAAATCAGTCATTATGCGTAGCCATTCCTCTTCAAATTCTTCAGGACTCTTTGAGGACCAAACACAGAATTTCAAACGCGTATGGAAGTCTTCAGATGAATTAAAAGTGGGTCCCACATATCC